GGGGAGGCAGGGGGTGAGGCGTGGAGGAGAGGGAGAGAGGGGGATGGCAGGGGATGAGGTGTGGAGGAGAGGGAGAGAGGGGGAGGGGGAGAGAGGGGGAAGCAGGGGTGAGGTGTGGAGGAGAGGGAGAGAGGGGGAGGCAGGGGTGAGGCAGTGGGGGGGGGGGGGGGGGGGGGGGTATTGGGGGACACACTGGGTGGTATGGTTTTTGCGAGGGGCGGACACAATACCCCAGTGTTCAGGCAGGCACACAGGACCTTGTTTTACAACAGGGGAGGGGACGCCATCAATGCCCCGATGATGTGAACCACCCTGAGCCCATTCACAGCGACAAACAGCCCCTCTAACCACCCCCTCCTCCTCGTCCTTCTCCGCCTCCTCTCCCATCCCTCTCTCTCTCTCTCTCACAACTCTACCCCCTTCTTGACCCCCTTCTTGACCCAACACTGTGGGACAGAGCCGGAGAGAGGCACACCAAAATCCCCCTCCCCACACACACACACAGTCCCTCCGTTGTTGGCGGCCTTTCTTTCTCCTCCTAATGAAGCCCCCACCTCCTCAACAGGAGCTCAGTGTGTATTAATTACATTAAAATCAGCCTGTGTTTTTCTTGTCTTCCACAAAGACCCCAAAATGGCTTGATGACAATGTAATTGGCAAAGTTTTTTAATGTACAATATGAGGCACAATATGTTGAAGAGGTACAATATGATGGAGAGGTACAATATGATGAAGAGGTAGACCTCTGTCTGATGACAACAAGGATTGTACTGCATACCATCTGTCAGGTTAGGGTGTGTGTGTGTGTGTGTGTGTGTGTGTGTGTGTGTGTGTGTGTGTGTGTGTGTGTGTGTGTGTGTGTGTGTGTGTGTGTGTGTGTGTGTGTGTGTGTGTGTGTGTGTGTGTGTGTGTGTGTGTGTGTGTGTGTGTGTGTGTGTGTGTGTGTGTGTGTGTGTGTGTGTGTGTGTGTGTGTGTGTATTTCGCCGGATAGGTTATTGTTCCAAGGAAAATATCTTTATGATGTGATCAGAATCATTGACACTGTGTAAGAAGTAAGGGGAAAGTATTGCCCCAATGCAATCAGCACTTAACTGGCTGTGAAGAGGGTATTACAATCACCAAAAATAGTTGTGTTGTAAAGACGGTTCTCCCCTAGCCTTTAGACAGAGACACTCATTCAAACCCAGCTGTGTGTGTGTGTGTGGTGTGTGTATGTGTGTGTGTGTGTGTGTGTGTGTGTGTGTGTATGTGGCGTGTATGTGTGGTGTGTATGTGTGTGTGTGGTGTGTATGTGTGTGTGGTGTGTATGTGTGTGTGTGGTGTGTATGTGTGTGTGGTGTGTATGTGGTGTGTACGTGTGTGTATGTGGTGTGTACGTGTGTGTGTGTGGTGTGTGTGTGTGGTGTGTATGTGGTGTGTGTGTATGTGTGGTGTGTGTGAGTGCAAGCAGACAGAAAAAGAAAGGGAAAGGATGTGTGTGTGGTGACTATATATGAGGTTAAATGAGGGCTGGTAACAAACCAGTACGCCCCATCGTTAGGTGCAACGAGGCTGTGTGTGTGTGTGTGTGTGTGTGTGTGTGTGTGTGTGTGTGTGTGTGTGTGTGTGTGTGTGTGTGTGTGTGTGTGTGTGTGTGTGTGTCTGTGTGTGTGTGTGTGTGTGTGTGTGTGTCTGTGTGTGTGTGTGTGTCTGTGTGTGTGTGTGTGTCTGTGTGTGTGTGGCGAGGGGCGGAGGGGAGTGAGAGTGGAGGAATTTTACACACCATCTCCATATGATGCCAATAGCATAGAACGGGGACAGGCTTGGTTCTCTCCACATGATGCTATTAACCAAAGAACGGGGACAGGATTTGTTTTCTCCATATGATGCTAATAACACAGAACGGGACAGGCTTGGTTCTCTCCATATTATGCTAATAGCCAAAGAACAGGGACAGGCTTGGATCACTCCATATGATGCTAATAACCAACAGAACGGGACAGCTTGGTTCTCTCTATATGATGCTAATAACACAGAACGGGGACAGGCTAGGTTCTCTCCATATGATGCTAATAACCAAAGAAACAGGACAGCTTGGTTCTCTCTATATGATGCTAATAACACAGAACGGGGACAGGCTTGGTTCCCTCCATATTATGCTAAAAACACAGAACAGGGACAGGCTTGGTTCTCTACATATGACACTAATAACACAGAACGGGGACAGGCTTGGTTCCCTCCATATGATGCTGATAACCACAGAACTTGACAGGCTTGGTTCTCTCCACATGACGCTAATAACCACAGAAAGCTCAATTTTACTCTCACATGACCAGAGTACCTTTTTCCGTATGTTTGGGGAGTCTCCCACATGGCTTTTGGCGAACACCAAACGTGTTTGCTTATTTTTTTCTTTAAGCAATGGCTTTTTTCTGGCCACTCTTCTGTAAAGCCTAGCTCTATGGAGTGTACGGCTTAAAGTGGTCCTATGGACAGATATTCCAATCTCCGCTGTGGAGCTTTGCAGCTCCTTCAGGGTTATCTTTGGTCTCTTTGTTGCCTCTCTGATTAATGCCCTCCTTGCCTGGTCCGTGAGTTTATGTGGGCGGCCCTCTCTTGGCAGGTTTGTTGTGGTGCCGTATTCTTCCCATTTTTAAATAATAGTTTTAATGGTGCTCGTGGGATGTTCAAAGTTTCGGATATTAACCCAACCCTGATCTGTACTTCTCCACAACTTTGTCCCTGACCTGTTTGGAGAGCTCCTTGGTCTTCATGTTGCTGCTTGCTTGGTGGTGCCCCTTGCTTAGTGCTGTTGCAGACTCTGGGGCCTTTCAGAACAGGTGTATGTATACTGAGATCATGTGACACACCCGTGGTCCTCTGTAGCTCAGCTGGTAGAGCACGGTGCTTGTAATGCCAAGGTAGTGGGTTCGATCCCCGGGACCACCCATACACAAAAAAAAAAATGTATGCACACATGACTGTAAGTCGCTTTGGATAAAAGCGTCTAATAAATGGCATATTATTATATTATATTACTTAGATCGCACACAGGTGGACTTTATTTAACTAATTATGTGACTTCTGAAGGTAATTGGTTGCACCAGATCTTATTTAGGGGCTTCATAGCAAAGGGGGTGAATACATATGCATGCACCAATTATTTATTTTTTTGAATTTTTTTAAACAAGTAATTGTTTTCATTTCACTTCACCAATTTGAACTATTTTGTGTATGTTCATTACATGAAATTCAAATAAAAATATATTTAAATTACAGGTTGTAATGCAACAAAATAGGAAAAACGCCAAGGGAGATGAGTACTTTTGCAAGGTACATATCCCGAAATAAAGAAATGATCTAACTACAATACATTTTTATAGAAAGTTAGCAAAAATAGCTAAGATTTTGCTACCATGGAAAGGAAAATGCCAGCCTATTTGTGGAAAAATCACTGTGATTAACTCTTCAGTCATATCCCATTTCACCTATTTACTTACACCTAGTGATCTGTTTTTTAAATTATATGAGCTAAAAATATTCAATTTTATTTGGAACGGCAAACCAGCAAAATAAAACGTGCCTATTTATATAATGAATTCGAAGGGCAGAAATGATTAAATATTAAAGCATTAGACCTCTCAATAAAGGCGTCAGTCATACAAAAGTTGTATTTAAATCCGAACTGCTTCTTTAGCAGATTTATAAGAATGTCTCAACCAATGTTCTAGAAT